GTCTATGTCTCTGAAAGGGGGGTCGACCCGTTAAAGGGAATTGTTGGCCTGGCTGAATAGGCGAGGTCTTCTGTTCTCCTGTGAAGGGGTTGGGGCTGCGATGATAGCGAGAAAGAATCAACTCTATCGCTGCATTGTAGGTTTTTGAAGGCTTTGTTGGGCTGCTGGATAAAACCTGGAACTAAACGCTATTTCTGACATTTTGGATTGAAAAATCTTCCTGGATGGAAGAGAAACGTCTTCAAACTTGGAAACAAAGTCCAGTGGATTTTAACTTTTTTGGAATGAGTTCATATACCCGGTTTCAACATAAAAGTTTAAAATACGTCGCAGTGAATTAGCATGAATAAAGCAGATGGTCGGGAAGCTGCATGGATTCCCAACTTTGTTGCCATGTGTAGGTAACAACAGCTAGCAGTGTTTCAATGTTACCTCATGCCAGTCGTGCAGATTGTTGTGCGAAAGGTCCAGCTCAATAACATGAGCACAAAAGGCAGCGATTTCCGCCTGGTCCCCTGCCTTGTTGATCCCGCAGCTGTTCAGCACCAGAACACTGGGCAAGTTCAGGCGGTCTACAGGGACACAGGGTTAGGGTTAGTCTCTTTGGGGTACTGTGAGTCACCAGACCCTTTCGGTAACAGCCATTCAAAATGGCCCTTTCCCAGGCAAACGCCAGCCGAATGGCAGCCCACTTCCCAGCAACTCCCAGCAGAATCCCCTCCACTTTCCAGCCACTGGAGTGAACCCCCCCCAGCCCACGGTCTCCAGACCGACAGCTGTCCCAGCATGCACTGCAGCAGCAGCAGCTTCAAGGTTAGCGCTCACAGAGCTCAGAGTATCAAGTTAAAAGTTCTCTTTTCTTTTGCTGTTGTTCAGTAATAATAAATATAATAAAAAGTGAGTTTTAAGGTCATTTGAGGCAAGAATATAATACTTTAAGCTTCACTGTATGGACGATTTACTTATTTAGTCTGTAATAAAAAAAAAAAGCTCCCATGTTGAGAAGACTGCGGCAACCGGCGGAGCTCCGACGCTAATCGCAGCCAGGGCTAACGTTAGCCCGTCTGCAGCGGCCAGGGCTAACGTTAGCCCGTCTGCAGCGGCCAGGGCTAATGTTAGCCCGTCTGCAGCGGCCAGGGCTAACGTTAGCCCGTCTGCAGCAGCCAGGGCTAACGTTAGTCCGTCTGCAACAGCCGGGGCTAACGTTAGTCCATCTGCAGCAACCAGGGCTAAAGTTAGTCCGGCTGCTGCATATGGGCTAACGTTAG